AAGAATGGGAAGTTAAAGAGAAGAAGGCTGCCGACTCGACCCAGTTAGGGTTTCAGGTACAGGACTGATAGCCTGAAACCCTCTCTCTGTACTTCTCCATCTTTATTTTGCACAGTTCTCTCTTTATTCATATTACTTATTTGCTAATCACTTAACATTCTACTTTCCTGGAAAATTCAGCATATGTTCTAGGCTTTTCTCCTCAGTATGATCACATCTTTATTGACTCTCTTTCTTTTTTTTGGTTTAAAACCAGTCTACTGATAAATGACCCTGATTTCAGTAGGACTTAATAGCCTGAATTGTTGAATTCCTATCACTTTAGGGCAGTACTCTGGCTTTCACAATGATTTAAACTTTGCTCTCTCTCTCTCTTTTTTTTTTTTAGAGAGAGAGAGATTTTTTGCTATAGGGCATGCACACTTGCCAGAGAGATAGAGACAGTGAGAAATCACAACCCAGGGGGGATGGCAACACCACAAGCCCTTCTTCATAAGCCCTTCTTCATTTTCCTCTTAGAATTTTGGGCACACACACACACCCGGCTTGAGTTTTAAGCCACCAGGTCCAGGACTTGAACTGCAGTTGACCATGTGAGAATCTAACAATATAACCATTATGCCATATGCCATAGTACACATGTTTTCCTCCTGTGAGGCAGAAACTCTCGACCGCATTCTCAGGTAAGGCAGCGAAAACTCTGAAAGGCTGTGAATTTACTCTTCTTTCTCAGTCTTTCTGCTTTTCCACCACTGGCAGGCATTTGGCTGGCAAGTAGGGTATAGTCGCAGATGCACAAGGCCTAGTCTCTATTTTTATGAAGCCTGTATACCAGCAGATAAGCTATGATATATACCAGGAAAATCGTAATTTGAGGTAGAACTGCATTCCCATGAAAAGAATATGAACAAAGCACTGTATTGTTTCAGAGGAGAAACAGATTTAGCGAAAGGAGTACATAGAATGGTTGGGTAAAGACAGGGCCTTTGACATCGTAGAGACCTGGGGTGAATCAGTCTCACTCTTTGATGACGACTGTCATGGGACAAATTATTTAACCTCTCCAAGGTTTAGGTTCTTCATGTAAAACAAGTTCTTATACTGAGAGTGTGTGCATGCGATAATATGTGTGACTCACTGAGACTAGCATAGAATGAAGACTCAATAAACGGTATCGATTATTGGAAGACTGCATGCTTAGGATTTCCACAGCTAGAGATAGGGCAGATGATGACTTTTCTGATAAAGGAAGAACTTCCTCTTTATGCTTCAAATTCTAAAATTGTGCAATACAAGTCCTCTTAAAAAGGTAATTCTCAAGATACTTTTTAATTTTACAAAGCACTATCACTTCTTCATTTAAGTCTCTTACAACAGTTTGGATAGTTGTAACCTCCTACGAATAGGGAAGAAAACAGGATCCCTGAGAGATGAAAGAACTGGTTCATGGTTGCTCTTCTAGTAGCCAGAGTAGATTCCTCTCTCTAATACCTGCTCAAACTTCTTTCCTGGAGATCATGCCATGTTTCTTATATTCATCTAGCATTTACAGCATTTTAGGCACTGCTCCAGACTCTTTGTACATGTTTAGTCATTCAGTCCTTACTTCATCTCCCGGAAGTAGGTACTGACATTACCCTACAAATGAGGGAATTGAGACACAGAGAAGGTAAGTGACTCGGCCAAGTTTTCACAATAGTAAGGGCCAGAGCTGAATTCCACTCTGGGGAGGCTGTGTGTGGACCACAGATGAGCCTGTTCCCATGAAATCAGGGAGTGTGCTGACAGCATGTCCATGGGAATGAAATTAAATTTCAAGTAATTGTGTCCTACAGTTTCTATTTTGTGGTTCCTTCTACTTGGTTCCAAACTGGTTAAGACCCAGCAGAGGTGAATGGCAGTCAGAGGAGCTTGCCACACGAGGAAACTCACCTTTGTAAAGAGACGGCAACTTACGGCTTGACTGCAGTGTAGTTCCAGGCTCTGTTTATGAGAGTGAGGAGGTTGGGAGGCTGCAGAAGTAAAGGTGCTGGGAGAGAATATAGGACTTGCAGTAAGCGGACTTGGGGAGGAGACCATGGTGGATTGGGGCAGACTTGCTTCTCTGGAACTTTGAGCACATCATTGAAACCTATTGGATCTTAGTTTCTACAACTGAGAAAACAGTGGAGATAACATTAACCCTTGTTCCACCTGCCTTATGTTTTGTTTTGAAGATAAACAGTGAGCAAAAGTGTATACAAATATGAATACGAAAACACTCAAACTATTTTTAATATGTTAATAAAATAAAATCTCGATTCACCTCAATGGCTGACGTGACTTGTGGGAATCATTTGTTTCCAAAACTGAATCCAGACTAGTTCTCTAGAGACTAACCTTTTAACCCTATCTTGGCTTTTTGATCACTGAGCTATTATTTTTTAAGTTTTATTTTATTTATTAATTCATTTATTTTAATTTTATGAGAGAGAGAGAGAGAAAGAGAGAAAGTAACCCACCGGGTCTGGGACTCCAGCCATGGTTGGCCATGGGGGAGTGTCCAGGGTCTTAACTACTACGCCACCTGCTGGTCCGTCACTGAGCTATCTGTGACTTGCAAACAACTTTTAATGACTGCTTTGCAATCCTAGATTTAGGAGAGGATTTTTTTTTTTTTTTTTGGAGAGGTTTTTGCTATAGGGCACGTGTGGTCGCCAGACCGACAGAGAGAGACAGAGAGACAGAAAGTGAGAAATCACCCCCGGGGGGGATGGCCATGCCGCAATCTCTTCTCCTCCGCTCTCTTCTCAGGATCTTGGGCACACACGCACCCGTGCCTGGCGTGAGTTTTTTTAAACCACCGTGTCTGGGACTCAAACCATGGTCGACTACGTGGGAGGCCAACGACATAGCCATTACGCTAACTGCTGGTCTCTAGGAGAGGATTTTAATCCTTGGGTTTAATCCATGGATTTAATCCACAGGATTTAATCCATGGGGATCAGGTAAACACCTTTGTTCAAAGAACAGAGAGGAGATGTTTTCTCCATTTGTGGCATTAATTTAATTTTATAGCCAGTATGCGCCCCCACCCCCGCCACTAGATCAAGGTATAAGTGGTGTTTAAAAGGTTCATGATGGGAGTAGCAGATGGTGTAATGGCTGCGTTGCTGGACTCTCATGTAGTCGACCGTGGTTCGAGTCCTGGACCTGGTAGCTTGAACTCTTGCCAGGCGCGTGTGTGTACGTGCCTAAGATCCCAAGAGGAGAATAGAAGAGAAGGGGTTATGGTGTGGTCATTTCCCCTGGGGGGTTATTTTTCGCTTTTTGTCTTTCTTTCTCTTTCTGGTGAGTGCACGTGCCCTATAGCAAAAAAACTCTCAAAAAATATATAATAAATAAATAAACAAATAAATAAAATAAAAGGTTCATGGAGAGCCCACTGGTGGTGTGGTGGTCAGGGCAGCTGGATACCACACCACTGACTGCGTGGCTTGAGTCCTGGACCTGGTTGTTTGAGAGACACGAGAAGCATGTGCTTATGTGCCCAAAGTCCTGGAATTTCTTACTCTTTCTCTGTCTGTCTCTGGCAAGTGCATGAGTCCGCAGGGAAAAAAAAAAACTGAAAAAGAAAAAAGTTCATGGAAAATGCATATTATGAAAAAATTATGCATGAATTTAAAAAAAATTGCACCAAAATAAACTTGTACTTTAATTCCATTTTTTTTCCATGAACGTTTTAAGGTCCCCTCTTATAGAATGAGGTCACATTTATTTTGTCTCCACAACCAGAAGCAGAAATAGGTAGCTAGTCTTAAATAGAAAGTGCAGTTATTATAATTTAAACAAATTTTCATCCAATTTCCTCCTCCTCTGGCATGTTCCATGAAAAGACAAAGAACTTGTTTAGTTCGAAGAGCTTAGTCGTCATAGATACCTATCACCTTGCTGAGGAAGAATCTGGAATATCTGCTCAGACTGCAGAAAAGTCCCTTTCTCTGCTGCTATTGCTTATTTAAGAGCTGAAGCCCTCTTAATCCTTTATCATCAAGGTGCTGTCAAGACCTCGGTGAGGTCAGTGGCAGCCTCTCAGCCTGTGCAGTTAGGGAAGGGAGGAGAGCACCTTGTCTGAGGTTCTCCACGCCCAAAGAGCCTGAGTCTTCAGGTTTAGACCTGGGTGAAGAGCTTGCAGTTCTCACACCTGCAGCCTTTCCTTGGGCCCCTAAGTATTTCCAGAGTTTTGTCAGAGGGATTGAACCTCAGCCACCTGATGTAGGACGGGCTCTCCTCTTCAACAACTCAGATGCTGGAGTTGAGAGTCTAGTTTTGGACTCTTCATTCTTTCTAAAGACTTTTCCTCCTAGGAATTCATTGCATCTCTCCTGCAGGCAACCTCTATTGGATTTACCTCAGTCCATGATCAAACAATAGCTCAAAAGCCACATTCAGCCCACGACCATTTTTATAAATCAAGTTTTACTAAAATACAGTCATGCTCATGGGTGTATATATTGTCTGCAGCTGTTTCTCTGCCTGTGGTAGTACCTGTGGCAGAGAGACCTAAAGCCTGCAAAGCCTGAAATATTTGCTACCTGGCCCTTTATAGAAGTTTGCTTAGTGGGAGCCAGGTGGGAAATGGCAGAAGGTGAGAGGGAGGGAGTCAAGGGGGAAAAATGGAAATAAAATATATAAGAAACAAGAAATGGAAAACTATTTGTTGCAGATAACATGCATGGTAATTTGATTGAGCCAATCTACAGTGTATTCTGGCTCGGAAAACTCATTTTGTATGTTGCAAGGATACAAGTGAATAAATGTCATATGAAGTAAAAGTTTACTTACATGCCCGTGACCCATAAAAATGCTAAGATATTGACCATCCATTAAAATGTTCACTGTCAAGTAAATTGATGGATGTAAATTAATGCATACGTGAGAGGGTAACTCCCATCATCAAAAGCAACTATACTCCAGTTTATCAAATTGACAATGAAAATTCCTTTATATTTTTCCCAGAGCAATCATCTCCCAGTACAAAGAAGATGAGCTCTAAGTTGGCTGATGTCTCCACTACCAGAAATAAAAATAGGTAGCTAGTCTTAAGTAGAAAACAGTTCTGACTCACCAGTATCCCAAAACACATTCCCCCGAATAGGAAGTGCTATCACGGAGCGCCCCAAATGTGAGGCTTCCCAGGATAAAGCAATAGTATTGATAGTCACGTTAGGTGACATTTGGGTCCTCAGAAGTTTGAGAGACATGAAATCAAGATTTCTTGAAAGATTTTGTGTACCATAATCTCATATTGAACACTTATTAAAAATAAGACTATTCGCAATAGAGTTTGGCTTTCCCTCTCTCCCTTCAAGAGCCTTGTTGTACAACAGCCTGAACTGAACATGCTGTGTCAATCTCGTCTTTTACATTTCCTGGGTGTTTTCTTCCTAGATCATGCAACAACCCTGTCATTATTTTAAATATTTTTGCCTGTAAATTGCAGAATACTTGATCTGATTTTAATAGGACCCATGTGTGAAATCCTTTATTTTTTTTTTTTTAATCTATCGTTCTGATTCTTTCTGCTCTTTAGTACAGCACAGCTTGGTAGCACTAGGTACGTCTTGTTGAAAGTATGTCCATAAATATGTCCCTTGCAGCATGGAACAGCTTGTTAAATTGGCAGTCCTCAGCAGTTTGCCTAGAAAAGTTTGCCTCACTTGTGATAGTCCAAATGTAGGGCAGAACACAGCGTCACTTTCATCTAATTTTACCAATTGACATATTCTTCAAATTTTTAACTACCTCGTGCCTTTTTCTTACTGTGCCACCACTTGACTTTAAAGTGGCTAAATGATCTCCCGATGCCAGGCGTGATTAGGGAAATTACCTCTGATTGCTAGATAATAATTTGGGGGAAAATATTGTAACTTGAAACAAGATGCTAAAGTCACTGGGGGACGAGGGTTCTGATAGGACAGAGGCCACTGATTTCTCTTCCCAAGGTTTTCCATCACAGCAAAGGTAGGCTTGCCTATCTTTCAGGTGGTATTGATAAATTTTATTTATATATTACCCTTAATAATACTCCATCACTGATATTGGTATACTTTGATATTTTACGGATGGATTGATATACTCTGATTTTTCTCTCTCTCTGTTTAGGATCCTGTTAGAACTAAGGAATGACAAGTACAGAGGGACTTTTTATCCAAAATTTGTGAACTTTCAGTGCCACAATCCTTTGCCCGCCCCTCTGTGAGAGGACTGAGTTCTCTCCTCATGTCTTCAGCACACGGGCAGTGCCACCTTGGTCTCTAGGCCTCAGAATACCAGGAAAACCTCCCTTCTCAGCTTGCCATCATGCCATTCAAAATTTGCCAGGCTTCGTCCTAGGGGAAAACAACACAAACATGAGCAAACAGAATGCATATCAGAAGATGGCATCTGTCGAGACACTTGGGCTCGGGCAGAGCACAACCCAGTGACTGTGTGTTCAGAGTCCTTCTTGGTGGTCACACCCTTCAGATGGCCTCGGCGCTTCCAGGTAAGTGACTGAGGAGAATGCGCTTTCCGTGCTTGGTTCCTGTCCGTGAATTTCACCACCCAGTAAGGGATGTGCCTTTCTTGAAGAATCTAATAAGAAATACTATTTTAGGAGTTATTCTTGAAGAAAAACCTCCAATGAAGTACAAAGTCGATTTTCTAGAAATTGTACCCAAACTTCCTACCCCCTTCTTGAGCACACTTTTCTAGGTGGATAAGGGCCACTACATCTGTATTGTTTTCATTTTACTTGAATAAAGTAGGTGAGATATATTACAGTGTCTTATTTTTATGGGGAAGGTAATATTCCATACGTCTACCTCAATGTTACAAGGTAGCATCTGAAGCTTCTGTCACTACTTCTCAAAAGTGGGAGTCTGAGTCCCATTTGCAGCAGATTCGTCTTGGGTAGTCAGGTCTTACAGGACACATTTCTGGAATCTGCCTTTTTTTTTTTTTTTTTAAGACAGGGTCTCATTACACTGAGGTCTTCTGCCTCAGCCTCCTAGCTGGGACAATATGTACATGACACTGTGCTTGATGTTTTTTTCTTTCTTTTTTTTTTTTTTTTTCTTAGACGTATATTTCCCAGGCTAGCCTTGAACTCATGATCTTCCTATGTTAGCCTCATCAAGTTGCTGTTATAACAGGCTTATGCTGCTGCACCCAGCCTTTATGTTGAGCAGGGAATACAATTTAGGCCTCCTATGCAATCCCAGCCTGCCAAGCACAGCATTTTAGCACACTCACCTCATGACTGAACCTTCAGGATCTACTTCTAACTCACTGAATTAAAGTCACTAAGGTAGAATCTAGGCAATTCTGATATATTTTTAGACCACCACATTGAATGCACTGTGTTCAATACATTTTTTTGTGGAAGGAATAAAAATAATTGAAGAGAATAAAATGAAATCATTAAATCAAATAAAGTACATTTTAAAATTTTTATTAAATGTCCTTCAGGCTTTATGTTGATTTAACCATGTTAAAACTGTGACCAAAGACATTCTAAATTATGTAACTGCGTTGATATAAGAGAAAATCTTGTGGCTGTGGCATCTTAAAGCATGTTTTCTTATATTCTTGGAGGGACCTGTAGGGCACCTTTAAGATAGCTATCTTGGTCATTTTACTCTTTTTTATTAAAAAAAGTAATTATTGCCAAAAGCTATTTTCTGTAATTGTGTAAAAATGTTTACAGATGCCTTAGGAAGAAAACAGCAGAATGTGGAACTAATTGTGTTGATTCAAGATAATTATGAAACACAAATGACCATTACTTACAACAAGTCCCCTGACACTTAGGGTTTGACTCCAGGGATCAGACTCAAATGAAGAAAGAAGATTTAAAAAAAAAATGGTATATTTGTGTGGTAATAATCAAACTAGAAAATGTATACTATCCCTAAATTAATGAAGTGCTCTGGTGATATTTCAGTATTCAAATGATATAAGCAAAAGGATTTTTTAAGTAAGTTTATTTGCCCTAATCTCAAAGGAGAGTTTGTGTATGTGAATGTGTGTGTGTGTGTGTATTTTTATATCTTCAATTCATATCACCTTGATTCCTGGGAATGAGAACTACATGAGTAATTTCCTGCATTTCCAATGTCCTTTTAGAGTAGACAGTGGAATATTTGGGTATAAGTTGTCATTTCTTTTTCATCCTAGATTGTCAGTGAAATCTCATGTCAGGATTGGTAGTAAAAGCCCAAAGAAGACTCTGGATGATACAAGATGTCTTGGCACAACAGATTCAGACAATCCCTACGTAGACCTCTTGGTCTGTTGTGGTTGATCATGCTTTATTTACACTTAAAGGTGAATTGAAAGCATAGAAAAGAACAGAAGCTTCCAGTGGGAATCACCAACCAAAAATATTAGAAGATGGAACATGACTTTGAGTCTCTATTAAATAGCCACATTTAGGAGACAGTATCTCTGTAGGAAAATAGTCAGGCTTCAACATCACATTACTAATTGAAAGAGAAACTGTAAATTGACAGATAAACACCAAGACCAGTACTATAAGCTGGAAATAGAAGTTGAACCATACATGTAATTTTAAATATTCTTTTTTCCAGTAGGTTTTTTTTTTTTTTTTTTTTTTTTTTTTCTCTGTTTTTTTTTTTTTTTTTTTTTTTTTGTTTTTTTCTCAATCTTTTTGTGTTTTTTTTTTTTTTTTTTCTAATT